AATAATTTGCCTGTACATATTCTCTAAACATAGATCTATGATGTATTTATATTGCTTAAACCAAAGAGATATAGACCTAAGATCTTTCTGTATAGTAGGACCGACATATTGTAAATTATTATAAGAAATACTTAATGAAGTAGGACTACTTTCACGCAGAACTCTATGACAAGGAAAATAATATTGTCCAGAATCCGAATTGTTATTAAAACATTTGGTCATATGACCTAAAGATTCATATTCTGATATGAAATCAGTGTACATTATTTTAAATATAGGTTTATTCACTTTCTTATGCTCTATTGAAAAATTATATTTAGCTCGCTGAAATGAATCGCTTAACATGATAGAGTTTTGTTTCAGTGGTATCCTTTCACAAAATCGACCATCTTTCAAATGAGTAATATTTTTAATAAAACGTTCTTCACATAACTTTTCTTCAACGGAATAATTAGATGACTATAGACTTGTTCGAACTGACAGAACTGCGTTAATTGAGTTGGAGTCTCATCGTGTATAGAAGAAAAATTACATTTTATATTATGTGAAGACGACGATTTGTAGCCACAGTTTATTGGGCCTGAAACCACCCAACCAAGTTTGGTTTCATGAAGTATCGGCTTATCAATACCTAATTTCAATTGCTGTAAACCTATTAAATCCCAAAATATATCAGCGCCGAGTATTAAGTCGACAGCAGATGGAGAATAAAATTTGGGATCAGCTAAATGAATGTTAGATGGCAATTTTAAATCCGTCAAATTTATTTGACGTGAAGGCACGTTATCCGTAATTGATGGCAAAATGTAACAATTAATATTAACCGAGAAACTACTATTCAATGACTTCATTGATACTCGACACATTTTGCCTACGTGCGATGATATATTATTAATGCCTATTACTGACTTATTTACATTAATTGTAGACAAATTTAACTGACTGTACATTTTCTCTGTCATTAAACATGAAGTGCTACCACTATCGAGTACTGCTCGAGCAACATGCTCGCGGTTATGAATATCATACACCTTAACTAATGCAGTCGATAGTAGGACCTCTTGGCCGCCTCTATTCATATCAGCAACATTAGCTGACAAAGAAATCGGAATATTAGACTCATCGCGTATCCTAATAACAGGTCGCGAAGTTTCTGAAGTTGAACAGACATCAGAATGAAGAGTCTCATTATTTAAAACCGATTTAAGGTCGACCACATGAACGAGAGTGTTATGTTTACGTTTGCAAACTTTACAGCCAGTTTTCTTACAATGATTGGCAAAATGACCTTTACGGAAGCAATTGTAACAAACCTTATAATTTGGTAATAACTGAAAACGTTCATTGTTACTTAATGATAAAAATTGATGACAATTACCTAAACTATGATCACCATTGCATTTAGGACAAACCATTGGAACTATATTATTATTTTGTACAGAGACCATTGACTTACACTTTGACGTAGGTTTAATATATTGAGATGGCTGATTACTAGTACTAACATTACGCGACAACTCAAGACTCTCTAATAAATCCGCACGATTACGCAAGAAGGTAATAAAATCATTAAAGGTAATAGGTTTATTTTTATCTAAGTTACTTTTGAGCTCCTCCCATTCACGATATGATTTTGAATCTAATTTATGAGTCACAATGTGAATGAGTAAGGTATCCCAGTGTTTAACTGGCTCTCCTAAAGACTCCAAAGCACGGAGGTTTTTATTAACCTGATCTACTACCCGTTTTAACACTGTTGATGACTCCTTTGTGACCGGCTCTATATTAAATAAAGCACTAACATGATTCTGTAATAACAAGCGTTTGTTTTGAACGAACCGTTCACATAAGAGCTGCCAAGCTATCTCATAGTTCTTTGAAGAGAATTCAAATGATTGTATTACAACCGCAGCGGTACCTTCTAATGACGCTCTCAGGTAATGAAACTTGTTAATTGGATCAATATCGTCATTGGAATGTATTAGACTTGTAAATGTGTCACGGAACTCAATCCAGGTATCATAAGATCCGTTGTACTTTTTTATTTCAATAATAGGAAGACGGACGGGTTTACAATTATTACCAGATCGAGAACACTTTTCACTATCTACGTTTAAATATTGGTCACGTGTACTATTCAAATCAAAAAGTATTTTCTGTCCTAATGCAAGCAATTTATAATACTGAGATTCAAATTCAGTCCTTTCAGAAATTTGTAAATCACTATTTTCGACAATACATTCTAACTGCAATTGTACTTCATCGAATTGGTCATATAATAATTCAATCTTACCAATCCGTAACTGCAATTCATTGACATCAGTGGGAGTCATTGAAGAAACATCTAATGAATTTAAGTATGTTGAAAATGATGTTAAACGCCCCTTGAAACTACCACGCTTCCTAATTAGTCCCTTTTCATCGGTCATTCTGGGAGTCGTGTCGCAAAAATATAAACACACTAATAATAAAATATGCAATTAAAAGTGTTGGGTATAATCTATAATACTCACACACTGTTTGGTATAGACCCAAGCGATACTCCTTGCAGAATGTGGTGGAAAACGTGACGGCAACGGCAGCGACAATTTCTTGTAATTTGGAAAACTCCTTTTCTTAATAAATTGTAATTAATTCAATAAATTCTTACATCCGGCTTCGATCTTGGACCATGTTGGGGAGTATTATGGATTTCTCAGTTGGTTATTATGGTGATTGTAATAAAACTAGGTAATTGTGGATAAATGAAATTAATTTGCTTCCGTATATTGTGAAAAGATCAAATGCAATGAAAAAACAAAAGAAGAACAGTGACAGGAACATTAAAGAGTATATGGCTATAAAAAAATATTAACAAGGAGGTTTTAATCTCCAACACCCTGACATATCGTAATATATTTCTAGTAATTATACAATGTTCGTCATTAACCTGTATTTTCTACTGATATTGTTAATTTTATTATTCGCCTTTTTTTCTTTAGGACAATTTTGGCACACACATCAACATGTACTCCCACGCCAGTGGCTTCGAACCTATCGATTTTTCGGTATTTCTACCGATATGGGCACTGTTTTATCGAAATACCGAAATGCAATTGTTTTTCTACGATTTCAGAGTATACATGAAAATTCTCCCGATTTTACACTTTAGATTGGATCTATATACCGAACTGGACGGTAGGGAAAAAATATTCTAATGTAAAAACTTGACGTTCATAAGCGGCTATAATGTCCTACATGAATAAATGATTTTTGAATTTGAATTTGAATAAAATAAAGATATGGCAACGTCTTTAATTTTTGTTAAATATTACGGGGAAGCTCCCAATACTACTTATGGATGGACATAATGCAGAATGTTTTGTGGAATTCCAACTCAATGGTATAAGGGTCATCCCCCGAGGCTCAGCAATTTACCTGTAAAGTATAGACTTTACAGGTAAATTCCTGAGCCTCGGGGGATGAAAATTCATGAAAAAAAAACGATTGTTTATATAGATAAACAATCGTTTTTTTTTCATGAATTTTCATAACTCTGAAGAGAGAGTATCAGTGACTTTTCTAAAGAGTGCCTACAAAATGTCGTCTGACGAGGAGCCAACAAGCTCAAGTGTGAGTGCAAAAAGAAAAAATATGTACAATATTATATCGAATATGAGATGGCCAAAGAATATTGGTATAAAAAATAATTATACTTAAGTTTGATTCTTTAAAATTAAGTCTATAAGTGTTTTTTATTAAATAAACGAATATAATTGAATATTGTGTTGTTTTAAAATACCGATTTAGGTACAAATATACCGGTTTTTGCTGGCAACTCTACCGATCTCGCTCTATGACGTTGGAGACCACTGTCCCAAGCTAATCAGCGCTTGTGTTGGCAAAAAATGAAGTAGGTGACGTATATGTGGAAATAACACATATACACACTACATATATAGTCATATATATTATATATGCACAGAATATTTGTTGGTTTCTAAATGTTACTAATATTATAAACGCAAAAATTTGTGAGTGTGGATGTTTGTTACTCTTTCACGCGAAAACTATTGAACGGATTTTGATGAAACTTTACAGTTATATAGCTTATATATCAGAATAATATATAATTTAAAAAGATATTATGTAAATTTGCTGCAATATAATGATAAATGTCAAGTAAGTGTGATGCAGACGAGGTTGCGCGGATCAGCTAGTCTATACCTATAAATAAAATTGAAGTATCTGTTTGTAATATTGAAATAATCGTTTGTTACTACATGCATATGAACATAAATACGGCACATACACCAAAAAACCTTTTTTACAATTTTTGTCTGTCTGTCTGTTTGTTCCGGATAATCTCTGAAATGGCTGGAACGATTTTGACGGGATTTTTTTGGCAGGTAGCTGATGTAATATGGAGTAACTTAAGCTATTTTTATTTTAGAAAAAAACATTTATTTTAGAAAAATACAGTTAAATTCCACGCGGACGAAGTCGCGGGAACAGCTAGTAAACAATAAAACTGGTAAGCACCTGTCACGTAAAAGTATACTAAAGCAGACGTACATATACAAAAATACATACCATCTTACTAATGTAATACTCGTGAAAATTCATGAATATGGATGGGTGTTACTATTTCACTAACTATGGAATGGATTTCGATGAAATTTTACAGTAATATAGCTTATACACCAGAAATACATATAGGCTATCACACGCAGATGATACCGAGGACACAGTTAGTATACCATTAACAAATATGTGATTTTTACAATAAAGAAATTCCATTGTTAATATTATACAAATCTGCAGTTTTGCATACAGTATAAATAATATGTTGCAATATAGTGACAACAATGAAATCGAGCCGCTGAGATATGAGTATCCGACTAACCGTAATGATAACCTTCATATCTTATCTGATATCCAAGTAAATAACAATCACAGCAAAAATAAACCCAACTAATGTATAAATCATTCGATATGAATGCAATCAGTATCTACTAATTTGAGATTATAACAATTATAATTAAAATACAATTAGTATCCAATAAAATTGTTGCAATTTGTCACTGTTACCGGGGAGGCGCGGTCGAAAATGGCGGTGATTCGAAATTTGAATTTTATTTTTATTCTTTTATTTTGTAATGGAATTTATGGCGATTTGGTGGCCAGGGGTTATCATTTGGATGTAGGGGTGCCGAGGGCTAGGCAGCTGATGACAGCGGAGTCGTTGAGGATCATTGGTGGAGAACAAGTCACGACACAGACCTCCTTTTCATTCCAAGTAAGTTGAATTTTACATATCCGAATTTGTTTCCTCTTTTTAAAGTATTTTACAAAAATAACCTATTGGGAATTTTTTGGGCGTACTACAATTATAGTACTAGTTAGTAAGATGATTTCGTCTGCATTTTTTAGATATAAGAGGACGTACATAGACATATACATTTTGATCCATATCTCTATCAAAGGAATATAACTTACTTACTAGCTGTGCCTGCGGTTTCACCTGAGTGAAAATTTTAGCCTATATTTTATTCCGAGGTATAAGCTATATTACTGTATTATTTCTATTATTATGTACAGTAAAGTTTTATCAAAATCCGTTCATTAGTTTTTGCGTGAAAGAGTAACATACATCCATCCATACTTACAAACTTTCGCGTTTATAATATTAGCAATTAGTAATATTATACAAGCTGTTTGGCTGTAGAAACAGATGAGACAACCTTATGTTTTTTTTATTATATTTAGTTTATTATAATATTTGTACATTATATGGGCGTGTAATAAGATTTAAATAGTACCTATATTTATATGTAGACTATTTATATATGTATAGACATATAAATAAAATTGGAGTGTCTTTTTGTAATATTGAAATAACCGTTTTTTATCACATACTGTATATGAATGTAAATACGGTACATACACCAAAAAACACTTTTTAAAATTTTTGGCTATCTGTCTGTCGGTCTGTTTGTTCCGGCTAATCTCAGAACCATTTAAAATTTGAAGCATTTGTTTTGGAAGTGTAATGAGTTTCAACACAAATTTCGTAATTAAAACAATGTGTACTGTACGCAAAATTGTGTATAATTAACGATTGAAGTTTAGCGAACGTTATAATGCTTTTGGCAATAATGATAATGTCAGAAATATCTGATGGCAGATAAAACATGTAAAATTTTCTGAAGTTTGCCACAGATTCATTATTAAAACTTCATAAGGTAAGATTTTCTCGAGAGACTCCAGCATGAGGTTTTTCTTGAAGGGTATATTAAAGTTTCTTAAGGGTCGGCAATGCGCACATGACACTCCTGGTGTTTCAGACGTCTTAACCTATAGATGCCTGAAACAGGAGACCAAGAGTAACCATTTATGAACAGATAGGCCGTATCCATGTTTGCCACGATTGTAATATAAAAAAAAAACAAGATAAGTTGATAAAACAATTATAATGATTACTATACCAGATAGAGTAGACGTAGCATTGACTATCCATGTCGTAGACAAAACAACACGTGACTTTCAATTTCGGGAGATAATTTAATTTAATGCGACAAAGGGCAAGTCTACTGCCATATTGCAACGCAATAGGCCTACATATGTAAACAAAGTTAACAAATTGGCTTAAAAACAAATGCTGTTTTTAAGTCAATTTATTAGAAATTCGTTTGTTTGTTCGATTCTTACCAGTTCTTCTCAATAGAGTCTGATAAGGCGTGTAAATACCCATCATTACGGAATTTTAATATATATATATGTACATAAGAATTCGGTGCCGGTAATGTATGAAATTCCTATTAATTACCGTCCCAAAGATTTACGATTTTAAAACGCCCACAGGCAATCATAATCAATCTTACATAGTGCAATCACCATACTTCTTCTTCGGTTCAATGACAACTAAATAAATTTCTCCAGAATGTTGCGACGACTTTAGCGCATTCAGTTGCATTTTTTGGGTCTAACATGACTCAAGCTCTGCTTAGCTTGTGTCTAGATGGCGCTCTGTGAACAATCAAATTTTTTTGGAGGACAAAATGTGCCACTTTCTTATGCCATTTATTTGCGGTCAACGTAATCTGTTTTTCTTTTCCATTTATCCCTGTTCTCACTCATCACACTCTTTCTTGCCATATCATCTTTTACACAGTCCTATCTGTTTTTCATCCATTGACTTTCCTCTGCCTTTATAATCATAGTTCGTAATTAGAGTAATGTAATAGTTTTTATTATTCTTTATAGGCCGGAATAGTGGCAACTTTGACAACAGGCTGGCAGTCTATATGCGGTGGATCCCTGGTCTCCAACACAAGGGTGCTGACTGCAGCCCATTGCTGGTGGGATGGTCAGAGTCAAGCACGATCTTTCACCATTGTTCTCGGCTCTCTTACTATATTCTCTGGTGGGACACGGATAGACACAACCGATATCACAGTCCATCCAAATTGGAATATAAATGAGATAACTAATGATATAGCGATCGTGAGGATCCCATCAGTTACGTTTACCAGTAAGTAATAATTTAGTTAATAATAATAATTCTTAGAAATATAATGAATTTATAATTCAGTTAATTTATACTAGATGGCGCTACTTAAAAAGTAAAACTCGCTATAATTTTATTTTGACCAAAATGTATATGGTTTTTCACGTTTGCCTTCATTGTCCCTTCCGATGGATCCCTCGTCCAAATCAAACGAGGATTGAAATAACCACGGCCTCAGCAGAGGTTCGAACCCCTAGCGGTGCTCTCAGACTAAAGTTGTCGGGCGGGAGTTGGCCTTAAGCTGCTTCATAAGTCCTTCCGCGGTTTGTAGAGCCATCTGCACTCGCCCGCTATCGTCTGATGAATCTATAAAAGCCAGCTGTGGCCAACAGCAGAGTAGTCCGAAAAAAAAATGAAAGGCATTGTAGAATTTTATGTTTCTATCGACCTACCTGTTATGAAACATATTCAATAAATCGTTGTGTACACTAAAAGATGTTTTGGTTTTTTAGTACTATTAGGACTTTAAGGTTTTTCAATTATAATACCGAATTATTCCGAGAACTTAAAAACGAAAAAATTATGATAATAATATCCTTGGCCAATTCACAGAGCGCCATCTAGTACCAAGCTAAGCAATGCATGTATTGGCAATAGACAATTGATAGAAACACTTAAATACATTCAGAATATATATAGTAAACACGCAGACAGTAAAAAAGTGTACACATGAATATAAATGTGTACGCGAGGACTCGAACCCGCGACCATCGGAAGTAAGGCGTGAATTAACCGACCACCGAGACCTTAAATTCACGACTCCTAGATGGGATAGTCAGAGGCATTAACAATGCTTACTAACTAACTAACTAACTAAATATATAACAATAATGCGTCATGTGCTAATTACTATTATATAATAATAATAATAATAATAATAACAATCTCAGGACAATTCACACAGCGCCATCTAGTCCCAAGTTAAGCTATCTAAAGCTTGTGTTACGGGTACTAGATAACTGATACAAGTACATACATAATTTTTTTTTCATAAATTCATACATATCGAAAACACCCAGACCGATACAAACAATCATACTCATGAATACAAATGTTTGTGCCGTGCGAGGAATCGAACCCGCGACCATCGGACGTAAAGCGGTGTGCTAGACCGCTAGACCACCGAGGTCGTCAATATAATGTATATAAAAGTTATATTATATCCACAGATAATATACAGGCGATATCCTTGCCAGCTCTGTCGGATGTGAACCAATCCTTTTCCGGATATTCAGCCATCGTTTCCGGTTACGGGAAGACCAGTGACGGTACGTACAGGCCCTTTGGGTGTCGTAGTGACAGTGGCTCATTTAGGGTGACTACAGCCATTGCGATTTTTTTGTCGCATTTTTTATCAATCTATAATAATAGTAACAATAATATAATAATCGAAGGACTACTCACACAACGCCGTGTTATAGTATAAAACTAGGACATTTAAAGTAATGCATCCTCCATCTTTTATTTGTAATGCATCCGTGCGAAGTCGGGCCGGGTCGCTAGTATATGAAAGAATTAGCTATGTATTTCTTAGAAGATCTTGTCTGTACATAAAAAAAATCTCAGGACAATTCACACAGCTCCTTATAGACCCAAGTTAAGCTAGCTAAAACTTGTGTTATGGGTATGTTAAGGGATATACGAAAAATTTTTTAGAAAACTTTTTCGTAATACATATTTATTATACATAAAACACCCAGACCGATAGATAACAATGATATGCATGAATACAAATGTTTGTGCCGTGCGAGATATCGAACCCGCGACCATCGGAGGTAAGACGGTGTATTAAACCGCTATACTACCGAGGCCGTCATCTATACTATCAAATAATATCTATAATATAGCGTTATGTATGATGTATGATGTCCTGTAGTATATAGGTGGTGAGTATACACGTGTAATAATTGAACTACAATATGTAATATGTTAAAAGTTACATTTTTATTTTATATTTTATTACTAACATAGGATAAGTTATGACATTAAGCTGTTACTAACAAAATGGATCGTGTTGTCTGAAATAAAATTATTATTATTTTTATTAATAATAAATTTATTTGCTAGTGTGCTACATGGCTTATTAGTAACCCGAATACAACGTGGAGTCGTAACGTGGACTGACTTTATACTGAACTTAAATCTATGTTACGTGGAGACGTAAACTTATGGAAGGGTGCCGAGTGTTGACAGAAATATTACAAGTGTAGGTACAATAGTAATATTATAAATAGAGAGAGAGAGAACTCATTTTATTAAGAGGACTCAAAGCCACTGTACTGATTTGAGGAATTCTTCAATTATTTGACAGGGACATTACTGCTGAATGATGTATTGTACACTCGTAGTTTTATTGTATGTAAAGATAAATATGTAAAAGTCACTAAATTATAAAGAAGAAAACGACTACAATAATAGATAATTATTTAAAGTGGAACTCTTGTGTAACGAATTGTTCATAATGTTGCCATAATTTCCCGCAATCAGTCTTCACTGGCAGTAATTGTTTTGTCGTCAGTTTGTGGCCATCTTTACAGACACCCTTGGACTTAACAAGTTGGGTAATAATAAATGGAGAGCACTTGCGTAGGGATTAGTGTTGCCAGCTCCGATACAAAACTAGGGATGAATGGACTGGGACACACTTAATGGGACGTTTCACATTTATTTATTGATTAAAATAAATAAATGTAAAACAGTCAATTAAATGTTGCCAGAGTTGTCAGGTTAGGCATTGATATATTATTCTTTATATATAACTAGCTACTTGCCCCAGCTTCGCCCGGGTGTACATGTATTATTTATATAAATAGATGAAGATCTAGAATCTCTCTATCTATTTAAAAATCGCTTCAAAATCTGTTGCGTAGTTTTAAAGATTTAAGCATACATAGGAACGGACAGACAGCGACAGCGACTTTATTTTATACTATGTAATGATTATTGAGTGTATTCAGAGTGAGTGCTGTCATTTTGTATACACATTATCATTTTTAAATTTTGTTAAAAGTTGTTTCCGTTGTTCTTTTATCTAATCTTTTTTAGACTACTTTGAATAAAGTCTATATTGGCTCGCTTATAAGTAACACACTTATAAGTGTTTAATAAAAGTTTGAGGTAACGCAGTGAACATTGGCTTAGCCTTCCGGAATGGGAATAAATGTCTGTGATAGTACCCATTGATTCCTATTTCCTGATAACGTGATGTCCGTTGTAATCTTCAAGTAGTCGCCTATATAGTAATGCATATAGGCGACGGTTACTACTTACTATTAGGTACCTTTTTTACCATTTAAATAACTTTAAAAAAAATAATAAATAAAAATAAAATGCACAAATAAATACAGCGGGACGTATAATTATGATTCTCACCATTTCTTTTTAATTAGCCGGAGATGTACTGCTTACAAAATGGGAGGTTCTAAAGTTTAGTACATGGCAACACCGCAACGATGAATCACGGTCTGGATTCGGGGAGGCAAACAAGCCGAGCTTTTATGCCCCTTTCGAGCGAGTGTTCGTTTGTTAACAGTGGGAAAACAAAGCGAAATTAAGGCTCACTTCAATTTCACAGTTAATTGAATTAATTTATTTCTTAAAATAGAACCATTTTAATTAAATTTATTTTATAAGGAAAATTTATGATATTTCCATCAATAAGAAAATATTCTTCATATTTTTGTGGGGACAGATTTGTCTATGGAAATCTTAATATCAGCCGTTTTATTATGTAATGCATTTACTAAATTCATAATTTAATTTATTTGAAATGTTGTATTTTTCTAATACTGTTGTAACTGTTGTTCTTTTCTAATAACTTGGCCGAATTTGCCTAATAATAATATATTTATTTCATTAAATAAAAGTTAAATAAATAAATAAAAAAAATTCAAACCGCGTAAAATCCAGGCCGTAGTAATTTTAATATCAAATTCACGATATTGTCCGTTTTAAAAATAAACAAACATTGAATGTAATGTAACAAGCAATTGTAGACTATCATGAAATTCATCTACGTCTTGAATTTTGATGATTGTTCATTACACTTATGTCAACCAGTTTATGTCAAATATATACCTTGGTATAAAATTCGACGGAGAACCAAAGTGGAACATAGCTTTCAAAGTATGTCAGCTGAAGTGGCAATGGGCCGGGCATATCAGCAGAGTCAGCGATGATAGATGGGGAAGAAAGGTTATAGAGTGGAGGCCGCGTATGGGTCGACGGAGTGTCGGGCGCCCTCCTGCAAGATGGACCGACGACATTATAAATGTGGCCGGGAGTGGATGGATGCGGAAGGCGGAAGAGCGCACATGGTGGAAGTCTTTGGGAAAGGCCTATGTCAGTGGACAGATACAGGCTGGTGTTAGATATACCTTGGTAATTACGGACTACCGAAATCTGCGCAAGGAAACTGCGGGAAGAACATAGCGAGTAATACAAATTAATTTTCCTCAATAAAGATATGTAATTTCATAGAAATGTAGGCGTGCAATATATATATATATATATTAATAATATTTTTCATAACTGTCATTTAAGGTATACTTTATGAAAATACATATACTCTAAGTAATACACATATGCCTGTATTAGAGACATTTTTAGTATGATGAAAATTGCAAATTAGGGAAATACTCTACGTATATGAGATGCGAGTTAATTTATCATTTGAAGTCTTTCATAAAAATATAATTTTAATATGACGCTGTTATTACGTTTCGTTTTATGTCTATACATTTTTTTCATTGTTGAGGAACTAAATTAGTTATAAACGGCAAAATTAACAGCGATCTCGGTGATGCAGTATAAATATTGTTCTTTATTTATGTGAAAAATTTGAATTAATTTAGATTTAGATTATAATATTGTATTTTTAAATACGACACAAAAATTACTGTTAAGAATTAATTAATTAATTAATAAATAATTTATTATTTATTTATTATTAATTAATAAATAATAAATAAATAATTTATTATTTATTTATTAATTAAATAAATAATTTTTTATTTATTAATTAATTAATTAAGTTGTAAGTTGTTGTTGTAAGTTGTAATTAATATACTTACAAATGCATTTAAGTGCAATAAAGAATATTTATATTCTTTATTGCACTTAAATACATTTGTAAGTATATTAATTACAACTAATGTTAACAAAGGATGACTTATCTCTAAAAGAGATCTCTCAAAAGAGTCAACCCAATAGAGCGTGGCATAGGAAGTGTCAAAATGTACAAATAATAATTTAATAAAAATGTCATAAATAATTAAAACGAAACAAAAATATAATGTCCAAAATACACATAGCAGTAGAAAGGTAGTACGATTTTAACTTTTTAATTTAATAAGGTTATAAGAAGAGAAGTCAAAGCAGAGTATAGAGATCATGGTAAAGTGTATAACAAGCTGAAGGTAGCAATAATATACATAACATAGAAAGAAACAAACCAGAAATTATTTATTTATGCTAACACGAAATTATATAATTACTAGTTGTGCCCGTGATTTCACCTGCGTGAAATTTATAGCCTATATATTATTCTGATGTATGAGCTATATTACTGCAGAGTTTCATCATAATCCGTTTAGTAGTTTTTGCATGAAAAAGTTACATACATACTCACAAACTGTCATGTTTACAATATTAACAAGATTCTGTTAATTAATATTAAAGATACCCATGTATTATAGTCAACAGTTAAGGTTATATAGATTTTTTTCAGCACAAGCCGGTTTCCCCTCCACCACAGCTCTTCATCAAGTCTCAGTGACAGTGATCACCAATGCTGTCTGCCAGAACAGCTTCGAAATTACCCTGCATGGTAGTCACTTGTGCACCGGCGGGGACAGGGGGGTGGGGTCCTGTGATGGGGACTCAGGTGGACCTTTGACTACTCTCCTAAACAATCGAAGAACTTTGGTAAGATTTTGAAAAGTGAAATTCTATTAAGTTTAAATGTTATTCTGATGTATAAGTGTTATCTTATATATAAAATTCTCGTGTCACAGTTTTCGTTCCCATACTCCTCCGAAACGGCTTGACCGATTCTCATGAAATTTTGTGAGCGTATTGAGTAGGTCTGAGAATCGACCAACATCTATTTTTCATCCCCCTAAATGTTAGGGGTAGTCCACCCCTAACTTTTTTTTTTATTTTAAGGCAAAACAACGTTTGCCGGGACAGCTAGTATATTATATTATTGTAGTTTCATTAAAATTCGGTATTTTTTTGTGTGAAGGAGTAATACATAGAAAGCGTAATGATGAATAAATGAAAAATAAGATGAGATGAAAATGAGGTCAGGTTAGTTAGCCCATCATGACAAAGTTACCAGGAATTTATCAGTTAGAGGGGAAAACCCCATTTCTAGTAATGTACCCTGTGAGATTGACCTCCACGCGGGCGGCCCTAGAAGCCATCCTGATAAATTCCTAGTGAGTTTGTCACTATGATCTAACTGACCTGACCCTATACCCAAGCTATCATTCTCTACTGGTTCCCCGCCAGAGTAAACCGTTAGCGCAGGCGTGTGCATCATTCCATTATCATCCACTAAAAAAAATAGCAATAGATTTTTTATAATATATTAGTTACTATAAAAATCTATATATTATCTATATAATTAATCTATATATATTAGTTTACATTACTATGTCCTTTCCCTCAATACAAATCTACTGTATGATTAATTTCCAAAAATGAAGAATATTTTTTTTTCAGATTGGTATAGTGTCGTTTGGTCTAGGAAACCGCTGTGAATCCACATATCCGTCTGTGTATACGAGAGTGACGTCATTCTTGACCTGGATCCAAGCGAACCTGTGAAAATATTAGTGTTTAATATTTAATTCTAAATAGGGTTTTGTAATTTTGTATCTAACTAAATCTGAACATTCAAGTGTTCAAGTAACTTCTTAAGAACACAGGAGTTAAAGAAATATATATATATTTATAAATGAAGAGAAGACAAGAAGAGAAGGCGAAGAAGTGTACAGAGATCATCGTGAAGTATATAACAAGCTAAAAGCCAGCAATAATATACATGAAACTGAAAGAAACAACGCAGAAAATGAAATAATCGTTTTGGTATGTTATTAAAAGTTCAAATATTGTGTTCAGATTTCGACTTTGTTTCTTGGGGAAAGTGGTTCAGTTTTATTGGTATTATATCTGGTTTTTAACTTACTAACAACTTTATAGCTAACCCTATACATGTTATGGAAGGAATATAAGACTGTTCTATAAACATTCTTTCAAAAGTCTCCCATTTTCTTTGCCGAGATGAATGTAACAAGATTCGTGCTTTTTTAATGTTAAATATATATATTTTACATTATATAATAGTTTGTAGTTTCATACCGTCCCCATTCCTTTGAATTTCCTAGAAATAAAATGGTGCTCTGCCTTAGCTTACTTCAGATTTAAACTTCGACGATTTCTAAACGAACTATGTGAAGGTGGACCTAACCGTTCGATTCCTTACAAGATGCAAACATTTGTATTCATAAGAATGACTGTTCGTATTAGTCTGTGTTTTTATGCATAAATATATAGTACACACAAAGGTAGGATTATATATGGTGGATTTAAAACTATGTGCCATTATCGACCTCGACGACCTCGGTGGTCTAGCGGTCTAGCACACCGCTTTACGACCGATGGTCGCGTGTTCGATTCCTCGCACGGCCCAAACATTTGTATATATGAGTATGATTGTTTGTATCGGTCTGGGTATTTTCTATATATATTTACAAAAAAAAAATATCTATGTATTTGTATCAGTTATCTAGTACCCATAACACAAGCTTTAGCTAGCTTAACTTGGACCTAGATGGCGCTGTGTGAATTGTACTGAGATTATTATTGTTATTGAGATTATTATTATGCATTATTTATTTACATACAATAATACTAAACTAAATAAATAATCAAGCCACTAAACTGCTTAGGAATTTGTCTGCAGCAAAAGCGTTAACACTAACTTATGTGTACATATTCCATATGTATTATAAAAAAGATGTGTCTAAGTATTTTATCAGTTGTTGAGTACTCATAACACTAACTTTGTGTAGCTAGGCTAGATGATGCTGAGTGTATTGTCCATGCTTGGCATTTTATTTATACATTTAATACAGGCTACACGCCCCATATTATACATACCTTATAGAGTAACATAAGAAATAATAATATTGTTATAAAATTTATTAAACATTTTGATTATGTTATTACAAGTAAAATAAAATATAATAGATTAATATTCATCGAAAACCTTCCAATTTAGCAGCTGTATCTTGACAGTTTATAAGTCTTTTATAGCACATAACATATAACTTTGTAGCGACGTAAAACGTACATTATAGATAGTATCTGCATCTAATATGCATATATTACGCAGTTACAAAGTCAGGTATAGAAACGACTTTGTTAATGGAATTATTCAAATAAAATATAGTAAAATGATATAGTAGTAATAAAAAAAATATAGTAGTAATATATAGAATATAATAAACAATATTCTGTCTTGGATCATAGTCAGGAACACGTTATGGGATTTATAGAATTTCTTCAGAATTACCAAAAAAGGGCTGAATTATAAATTAAGAAAATAATTTATCTACAATTATTTCATAATATAATAGCTGAGCACATTTGCTTTTATATTATGAAATAATTGTAGATAAATTTATTTAATGACGAAGATAATTTATAGTTTAATTTCTTAAAGACTCCTTTATAGCAAGTATAGATATATATTTAACTAGTAGAGAGAAAGGTAAGGAGCCTATAATAGTGCTATTACTATACTCTATTATTCTATAAATACATTTTCAGCGTTTTTAATTAGTTATTATCGACAGGGGATATACAGCCTTAGGTCCGCGATATTCATCTTTTTTGAAATAAAAACAAACGAAATACTGGAAAATTCATTAAACTTCTAAAAGATAGTGAGAGTAATACGTCTGAACACTCGTCTAAAATGGTTTAACATAACTCATCGAACGTAAAAAGCAATTCAAATAGAAATATGCCAAGCAAAGTTAGTATATTAACTGGGGTCTCTAACTAATTGGTTAATAAATCACTTAGTTTAATTACTGTACTCTGGGTCAGTGGCAATTAACGGTTAACTAGTTTTATAGCTCTCTTAGTCAACTTACGTAGTATATCATAGACACTAATATTATAATGAGTTTTGTTGTAAATGTTCAATAACTGTATATCAAGACATGTATGATCTTCAAATTCGAATTCAAATCTCAAAATATCTATGTTCATGTAGGTCTATTAGAGACTCTTATGTTATGTTAAATCTACCGTCAATACAAAGAGGGTTGTACATGATTACAATAATATCTGTAATATAATGTAATGTAACGGAACAATATGATTGATTACGGTGCCTTTTTAATTCAGTATACTCGTCAATACAAATAAACATTTGTATTCACGAGTATAACTCTTGCGTGCCGTGCGAGGAATCAAAACCGCGACCATCGGAAGTAAGGCGGTGTCCTAAACCCGCCAGAGCACCGAAGCCGTCGAGTTTTGTTTTATATAGTTAAGCAGCTCTGCCCTGTCGTGAAATTTATAGCCTATGTATTATTCTGATGTATAAGCTATATTGCTGTAAAGTTTCATCACAATCCGTTCAGTAGTTTTTCCGTGAAAGAGTAACAACATCCATCCATCCGTCTATTTATCTATACTCACAAACTTTCTCATTTATAATATTGGTAACATTATGAAAAATTAAGTTAAAACGGGTTGTTATTTACCCATTTGCATAAGGACGATTAAATTATTAATTTATTAATGTAATATGATTTAACATGGCTTGTTTCGATGGCAATTAGTTGGAATTACCAGGAATCTTGTCGGAGGCATGAATTTAATTTGAGCTAATCTACCGTTAATTAATCACTGCGCACGACTTCAAATATTAAGCTGTTAATTTATTAATGGCGTAGGTATTAAAAAGTAATCTACACGTCATCATTCAATTTAACCTATTAATCTATACATATATATATAAAATTGCAGTGTCTGTTTGTAATATTGAAATAACCGCTTTTTTACTACATGCATATGAATATAAATACGGTATACACACCAAAATTTTTTTTTTAAATTTTGTCTGTTTGTTCCGGCTAATCTCTGAAATGGTTGGACCGTTTTTGACGGGATTTTTTTTGCCGGGTAGCTGATGTAGCAAGGAGTAACTTACGCTACTTTTATCTTAGAAAAATTAAGTTAAAATCCACGCGGACGAAGTCGCGGGTACAGCTTCATAAATAGGTCAAACGTTTAGTAATGGGGTTCATAAATAGGTCAAACGTTTAGTAATGGGGTTCATATTTAGGTCAAACGTTTAGTAATGGGGTTCATATATAGGTCAAATGTTTAGTAATGGGGTTCATATTTAGGTCAAACGTTTAGTAATGGGGTTCATATATAGGTCAAACGTTTAGTAATGGGGTTCATAAATAGGTCAAACGTTTAGTAATGGGGTTCATAAATAGGTCAAACGTTTAGCATCTAAATCTGTCTATAGGGGGATGGGATTTTTAGTAATGGGGAATAGCTCCATTGCTAACATTGTCATTATAGTGTTCGTATTGTAATATTCTTATTTTTTTTTTATTAATTTACTTTGCAGTTGTATTGTTTTGTTTTTATTTTAGTCCACAAGGTTCACTAAAATTATGTAAAAATTTTCGCCACTCAATGTCTATTGTAAAAATATGTTTTTTTATATAACGACTGTTTGTTGCCAAAATAAAGAGAGAAAAAGAAAAAAAATTACCACGTGAGGTCGACCTCCACGCTGGTTAATTTCTAGTAAATTCGTCACTATGGGCCTTCACTGGTGTCCAGCGTAAAGCGATAGCGTAGGCGGGTGCGCATATCCATTACCATCCATAAACAAAACCTGTCTATAAAGTCATTGGATACATACTCGTGAGCAGATATCTGATAATTGTGACTGATTTATTTTACTCCAGTTCTTTATTTATTCTCATCAATGTCAGTTGTCAACTTTGTTATTCGGCAGTTTGCATTTAAACAAGATTCTTAAAAATAGATTCCTGAACAACATTTACTTAAGACTAGCTTTTGCCCGCGGGTTCGCTCGCGTTAATATATCCCCTTAGGGGTGGAATTTATCAAAGTCCTTTCTTAGGGGATGCCTACGTAATAGTAGCTTTATGCATGCAAAGTTTTAGGCCGATCGGTTTAAAATTGACAAAGTTTCATATAAACTTTCATCCCCTATTTTATCTCCTTGGGGGTAGAATTAACTAAAATCCTTTTTTAGCGGATGCTACGTCATAACATCTACTTGCATGCCAAATTTCAGCCCGATCCGTCCAGTGGTTTGGGCTGTGCGTAGTGTTTGCTGTGCGAGTTATATATATTTAGATAGAAGCAATCATGATTCCGAAGAAGTGATGAGTCTGATTTTTGACTGATCTCAATGAATCTCAGGACAATTCACACAGCGCCATCTGGACCCAAGTTAAGCTAGCTTGTGTTATGGGTACTAGATAACTGATACAAATACATAAATTTTATAAATGCATACATATTATACGTAGAAATCACCAAGTATCGGTTTATATAAACAATTTACTCATAAATACAAATATTTGTGCCGTGCGAGGAATCGAATTTGCGACCATCGGAAGTAAGGCGGTGTGCTAAACTGCTAGACCACCGAGACCGACGAGGTGGTAGAATGACTATTGACTAGTACTGAAATACTATATGTGGTATATCAGTAGATACTACTGATATTTAGGTAGAGACGCAGACGACTTCTTACACGTTTCTCTTTGATATAATATGAAAAAGCACTGACAGACAGAATTATATATATTAATATATATTTATTAGTTTCAACCATCATATTCTTAAAACATTTAATTGTTTAATTGG